AGTAGCTGCAGCTCCCCCGTGGCCGCGTCACCCGTTGGGTGCCGTGAAGTCAGTGGTTGGCTTGTTCCCTCCTTCCTCGGCAGACCGCGCGCTCCGCCTGCTCCTGGGAACTGGATGTGTCCCCAGAGGCTGAGCGGAATGTGGGAGTCAGCGCCCTTGCGGGTTTTCGTGGCGGGGGCACAGAGCAGGGACAGGAATGTCCTCCGTCAGTTGTGTTTGTACGGCGGAGATCCGGGCCCTCGCAGGACGTGTCAGCTGGACCAGGGGTCAGGGGTTGCTTTGCTGGGGGGCAGCGTGTGAGTGGAGAGGTCTAGGATTAATAGGAGCTAACCAGGTGAGGCTGGCCTAAGTGCTGGGGAGTTTTCAGACCTGTAGAGCATGTGCAAAGGTCCTGGAGCAGGAGGGGTGGAGTGTGCTGGGGGGACTGGAAGGAGGGCTATGGGGCAGGGGTGGAGAGAGGGAGGTGTCTGCCCTTTGCCCACAGTGGTGGGATATGGGGGCACGGCACCAGCATTGGCTCCGGTCCACCTGTACGACTGATGCCCACGCCAGCCCATCGCGTAGGGGCAGGCCCTTCCCTGCTGACACGGGGACACTGCCCAGGGCGTGAGTCTCGTTAGGCAGGTCTGCTCCATCCTGGTTTGCCAGAGAACACGCGGGAATCGCAGATGCTAATGATGTATTTGCTCCTCGCCGCCCCTGCTCTGCCCCACACGCCCCTGCAGAGGGCTTGCTGCACCTAGCAGCCCATTTCGTGGAGGAGGAGCCGAGGTGCCTGCCCAAGGCCACAGAGCGGGAGCCTCAGAGTCCTTGCTTGGTCCTGCGGTCACAGCCACCCAGAAGGGTATGCGGTGGTGATGGGGGCTTGCTGTCAGCGTCCTCTCCCCGCCTTCCTGCCCGGGCCTCACACGTCCTCGCTGCCCTCCCGACCCCTGCCCCCGAAGCCGGGTCCTTCTGTGCACCTGCCAGGTGGTCCTCCGTGCTCTGCCTGCCACGAGGCGTGGGCGCAGACGTTTGCCCAATGTCCCTTTTCCCGGAAGCCCACGCGAGCGATCCGGGGCGGCTCCGACGCCATGCTGGGAGAGCCACACGTCATGTCTTTTAGTCCGGACTGGGGTCCCTTTAGTTGGGAATGCGGTGCCCCCACCCCGGTGCCTTGCGGGCTCTTTCCTGAAGCTCAGGCCTATGGAACATTCGTTTTGTGCCACACGGCCCAACTTTGGGCGTCCCTAAGCTGCAGACCCCGGGCTGCCCATGGGGAGGGGGATGGGGTGATGGGCTTCCTGCCATCCTGCTCATCAGGTCCCCTACAAGATCAGTGATCAGTCCCACAGCGGGCGGGCTCTGGGTCCTGGATGCAGCCCCAGCCTTCCTTCCATGGGCCTGTCCTCTTAGAAGGGGGCCTGGTTATGAGCCGCAAAGCCATAGTTTCCCAGTGACGTGTGGGCAGCGTCCCCAGGTGTTCTGGAGTTACCCACTGGGTATGAGAACGGTGCCCTGAGGATGGGGTCCTGCAGGGTGGGGTTCTGGAGGATGGGGCGCTGTGGGGGTTGGGGTTCTGGAGGATGGGGTTCTAGAGGATGGGCCCTGAATGCCAGCCCCTCCTGGTCCCTTACCCCCAGGTGAGGTAGGGGATGGGATTCCTGTGCTAGAAAGATAAGGAACGTGGCTGAGGCTGGGCCGGTGAAGGACCTGGTCACGATCACGGGGCGCATAGTGGCAGAGCCTGCATCATCTGAGGAGCCTCGTCCCTTGACAAAGCCTGGACCAGCTCCTCCCAAGAACAGGCACTGGGCCTGCTTTCCGCACCAGAGTAACTGACTCAGAAGCGAGCCCCAGGCTCAGTGGGCCTCCCTTCATAAGACAGTTGTGTCCGCATTCAGATCTCCCCACCGGTCCCTGTCCCCTCCTGTCCCCTCCTGAAATATGGGCGTGGACCCAAGTCATGCACTTGGGTGATGGGGGCGTTGGAAAGGTGTTTGTGCTTTACTCACACAGTCACGTGCCCCCCTTCCGGTCACTGTCTCCTCCTGAAATACGGGCGTGGGCTGGTGTCCCACGGCTGCAAAATTGGTCTTGCTGTGCTTGTTTCTTATATAAAATCACACCATTAGCCGAGGAAATGAGGATCAGTAATTGCAAAAGTGTGTCGAGCAAGAGAGCCCCCCTGGGCTGATGGGACGAGTCCTTACCAGATGGGATGCCCACTTGGCTGCTTGCTGGTGCATCCTGGACCCCGGAGGCTTCCCCAGATGGCCAGGGAGACTGGCGACGTCACAGGGGCCCAGGACCGCTTTGGGGGCCAGCGGAGGAGCTCCTTTTCAGAGACACGACAGCGGGGAGGGGCAGTGTAGGCTTTGCGGTTGGCCTGGTGCTGGTGTAACCTTGGCCCCAGATTCCACGTGCACCCCCCCGCCCCTGCCTTCGGGTTTCTAGGGCCTTTTGGAGTTGCAGGCTGCGATAAGCGCGTGCCAAAGCGGCCGGGGGTGAAGGAGGTGGGGCCGGGCTGAGGCAGGTGGGGACCCGACACACGTACAGGAAGCACTGTTGCTGCTGCACACGTGGTGAGGTACCTGGAGGGTAGCGTGTCCTCGGAAGGCTTCCCAGGGAGGCGGGCAGGCCGCTGTCTTCTTGCAGCAGCCCCACGAGAAACATGCAGCTCAGGAGGCATGGGGCCTCCCGGATGAGGCTAGGGTGTAGGGTTCTGGGGAGCAAGGGAGACTTTTATTAAGTAGGTTTCCGGGTCATTCCTAAGCCAGGAACTGTGCTGTGGTGTGTGAAGGGGAACCTGGTTTGTGAACCCAGAGAGCAGGTAGAGTCTTTGCCCCTAAGCGAAGACGCACAGAGAAAGTAGCCTTGTGTCCCCCTCTGACCAGCGCCCTGTGTGGCAAAGTGGTGCCCCGTCCAGTCGGCCTGCAGGCCGCCGGGGCTGCGGGTTGACAGGGTCCTGAGCTGGGTGTCAGAAGCGGCTACCGCATCTCAGCTGTGTGGCTCTGCGCACGGCGCTGTCTTCCCGAATCCCCGTTTCCCAGGCTGTGGGGCGAGGACGGTCCCGTCTGCTTTCTTCAGGTTCCCGCCAGGAGCCAGGTGTCCCCCAGGTGTGTCTGCGCTTGCCGATCTCAGCCAGCCCTCAGGGACACCGTGCTGGAGGAACAGTGAACCGTGGTCTGGGGCTGGCTTTGCCTCTGTCCTCGGAAACCCTCCTGTCGCTCCGCCCCTGCGTGCACATGTTGTAGCCATGCCCACCCCCTTGCTGTCCCCAAGGTGCAGAATGATGCCACTTCAGGGTTCGGGTACCGGCTGTGCTGTGCCCAGTACACATTCCCTTCAAGTGACCCCCCTCACCACAGAGACCCTCAGCCCCTCCACGCCGCGCTGCGGCTGTCACCGTGAGCGGGCGGGTGGCCTCGCCGCCAGGCTGGGGGTGTGGGCGGTGAGTGGTCTATCATGCACTTGGGTGATGGGGCGTTGGAAAGGTGTTTGTGCTCTGTCTGCACACTCACGTGCGTGGACCGGGTCTGCTGGTTCTCAATCTGTTCAGTCTAGCTCAGCCTCGGGCACAGCACAGTGACGGCAGGTAGGCGTGAGAAGTGGCAGGAGGGTGGGCAGGCCCTGCCTTCCCATCTCGCTGTGTGTGTGTGCGTGCGTGAGTGTGCGGGTGTGTTCAGCGCTCTACCTTTCATGCATGTATCTGTGCGTCTGTGTCCTGTCATCCGTCTGCCATCCATCCGTTGCCAAGGGATGGAGGCGGGGATTCTTGGGGGGCCTGGCTGGAACCCAGCCAGCAGGCCTCAGGGCTGCTTTGGGGAGAGTGGGCCCAGCCTCCCTGACCTCCTGGGGGGCCACTGTCCTATGCCGCTCAGGGTCCAGGCCCGAGGGAGCGGGCTCTGTCAGCCTCCAGAGTCCTCTGTAAGGGGACGTGTAGGGGAGGCACACATCCACCAGGGACAGCCAGTGGGCAGGCTCTCTCAGCGTCCTGTGCACAGAGGAGGGCACCCTCTGGGTCCCGTCTCTGCCTGCGGTCTCGGATCACGGCCTCGGGTTTGCCATTGGCTTAGGCACGGCGTGGTGTGACTTCTGGGGCATGCCATCTCCATTCCCGAAGGGGCCTCGGGAGTCTTCCTTGTCGTCTTCCTTTCGCTCTGGAGCCAGACTGAGCCAGGTGCCCAGTGACGCGCTGGTGATGTTGGGTGTCCAAGCCTGTGAAGGGTTCTCCAGGTCTGGGGCCGACAGGGAGCAGGAGGGAGGTCTGTGAGATCTGGGCGTCCTGCCACACATGTTCCCAGCATCACCCCCCTTCAGGCGGGCGCCCGGGCTGGTCGGCAGAGCGGGGCTGGGACTCGCAACAGGCCCAAAAGAGGAGCTGCTGCATCGTGGGAAGGGCTCTCCCGCCTCTGCTGTCTCGGGCAAAGCCTTGCACACCTCTTGAACCTTGGTTTCCCCACTTCTGGAATGGGGCAGGGGATTCCTACTCCCACGGTTGCCGGATGTGTCTCCTGAAATGCTGTATGCACAGCCAGTGTGCCGCGTTAATACACGTGCACACGGAAGGGTCGTGAAAGTTGTGAACTCGGTCCAAGCCGAGGGTTTCCCCTGCTGAAAGGCTTCTTGAACCGTAGACATACTCACTTCTTTTTTTTCCCAAGTAAATACTAGTGGCCAAGTTAATGCTAACCGTGACCTCGGTTGAGTACCACGTGTAGACAGATGGGGACGGGCACGCACCCTGCCGAGGCTGCTTGCCTGGGGCTGCAGGTGGGTCCGTCCCCCCATGAATCCCGTCCCACTGGGGGTTCGGGGAGCGTGTGGCTGGGAGTCTGCAGTCCCCGGGCTGAGACCTCCCGACGTGCCAGAGACCCTCCCGGGCCTTAAGATGAGCCTGCGGCCACCACACTGACTTCCCACCTGCGACTCGACGAGGACGGGCCGTGTCCTTCCTTCTCGGCAGGCTGCGGGCTGGGGACGGGGACCAAGAATGACCAGTGCTTTGTCGTTTGCAGGCTCCGGGGGCTTCTGCACCATCCGCTGCTCTCTGCCGTGCCAGACCGCCCAGGTGAGTGGCCAGCACCGTACGTAGCTCGTCCGCGTGTGCCCGCCCGGGGTCAGACCTGACAGGGAGCCCCTGAGCTTGGTGTTACTTTATTCTGTGGTCATCATTCTTCTGGTTTTGTTCTGTTTTTTACTTTAGAAAGATGTTCAAAGGTGTTACGTATCAAGTTTTTCTTTATCGACTTTCTTTTTCGGACCTCAGCGTCCCAGCCCTAAAGCCCAGACTGCGGGAAAGCAATTCTTTCCAGACATGGTTGTGGCTTCGTTGTGCTCGTGGCCGCTGGGGGCATTCCCGGGCCGAACCCGGCATGTGCACAGAACTCTGCTGGCCTGCGCCCCGGCAGGTGCTTGCCAGGATGGCCACAGCCCGCGCTCCACATGGGGCTGTCCCTCAGGAGCTGCGGTTGGTGGAAAATCCGCGTTATGACTTTTCAGATCAGTGTTTCAAACACCTGGTTCATTTTTTGAAAGTAATCAGAACTCTCTCGCAGCCCTCTGTAGTGCGTAAGGTAGAGAGAACAAAAATCTCCGCGATCGTCTGCCTCCTGATGGGAATTAATCAGCTTTGAAAATCAAGTTTATGACCTGGGGTCTGGTGATGTTCCTTGTTTTAGGTCTGGTAATGACCTTGTAGGTATTTCTAAAAAGTGTCTATCTTCTAGAAAGAAATGCTAACGTATTTATACATGAAGTTGTGGAGCATCTGGGATTTCTTTGAAGCAGAAAGCTGGCGGAGGTAGCAGGGCGTGGGGGGCCACGTGGGGTCATTTGGAAGTCAGATGATTGTGAAGTGGTTTTGTATGTTTCTGAATTTTTCCAAAGTCAGGAGAGAAACACAGAGGAAAGAGGCGGTAATAGATAGGCGACAGCCGCAAACCCCCAGAGCTCATGGGCTCTGGGCCCAAACTTGCGTCCTGTGTGTGTCCCTTGTCTCCCCGTGGTTCTGCCATGGGGCATCACCCCATTGGGGTTGACCTGGCGTCTCGTCCCCAACCACCCTCAGCCCTGGGGGCCTGTCCTCCCGGAGGAGGAGGAGAGAAGGGGGAGGAGGAAGAGGAGGAGGAAGATGGGGGGTGGGGGAGGAGGGACGGCTCCCGACCATGGTCTCCACAGTACCGTCCTGTGATGCAGATGCAGCTGGGCGCTGTGGGCAGGAGGCCCCATCCTGGCCTCACCAGGCCCTCCCCTCTAGGATGGGAGCACTTGGTGGTCCTGCTCTCTACCCTCCTGCTTCCGCGCCCCTGCCCTCCCACCTGCTGTCCCCCCGCACCCCCCCAGCACCCGGGCGTCCTCAGCAGAGAGCCGCACACAGCCATGCTTGCACGAAAGAGGACACGTGGGCTCCTGTGTGAGCTGCGTGTGCAGAGGCTGACCCGTCCGCTGCTCTGGGGACCAGCCTTGCTCCTGACCCTGATCCTGACCCCGCTCCTGACCCTGCTTCTGGCCCTGCTTCTGGCCCTGGTCCTAGGCCCACGGGGCTGAGCTGCACCATGGAGGACGGACGCGAGCTGGACCTCACCTACGTCACCGAGCGCATCATCGCCGTGTCTTTCCCTGCCGGCTGCTCCGAGGAGTCCTACCTGCGTGGCCTGCAGGAGGTGACGCGGATGCTGAGGTCCAAGCACGGGGACAACTACCTGGTGAGTAGGGGAGGGCACTGAGCAGGAGGACGGGGGAGCCAGGGAGTGCGGGGACAGTCAGGGGACACAGAGCACCGTACTTGGGGAGACACTGAGTTACCGGAAATATGAAGAGGTACCGAGTGTCTCGGGGTGGCTGCTAAACCCGTCGGGGGACGTGGTCCCCGCCTCCACGCATCTGGTCCTCCGGGCACCTAGTTTCACGGAGATGCTCTTGGACTCCCTCCCTCCGGGCCTCTTGTCTGTCGTGCCACCTGCTGCACCTGCCCATGGCGGCTGCCCCAGGGCGCCTGAGGGTGGGCAGCCCCCCTGCTGTGGCTGTGTTCAGCATCAGATAGACCTGTCAGCCCCAGTGGTTTCAAAGCATCCAGCATCCCTGGTGTCAAAGCCCAGCCTTTCCCTCCTGTTGGCCTGAACCCCGAGGACAGAGGGTGGGGTCCTGGAAGCCGCTGTGCCCTGGGGACCCATATGACCTGGTAAGAGGGAGCCCCCAAAGAAGTGTGGGCCAGAGTCCCGCGTGTCCCCTGGTACCCAGTGTACTCCCGCGGTGGCGGCCTCTGTGCAATGGCCCCGGGTTGTCCCGATGCGACCATGCATTGAATGACAGTCCCACACCTTGTCTGCACCTGCCCCCACACGGCCTCGTTATCTGGTGAAGCTGCTGACCTTTGCCCTGCTTGATAAGGCCATGATTGCCGCCCTCTGGTATGACCACATGGCTGTCTGCGAGAGTGGCCCAGAGACAGAGTGGATCTAAGGGGGCCCTGCCTCCGTCCCAGCAGCCGGTATGGCCTGGAGCGGTCAGTCTGGCCCTGAGAGGGCAGTGTGGCCTGAGGGGTCAGTGCCGGCCCGAAGAGGTCAGGGTGGCCCAAGTGGTCAGTGCTGGCCCGGAGAGGTCAGTGAGGCCTGAGCAGTCACTGCTGGCCCCAGATGGTCAGACGGCCCCAAGCGGTCATGCCGGGCAGAGCAGCACTCTCCTGGCCCCCGAGGGCCTGCCGCTTCCCTGCATGCCAGTCCTCGGCATTACCTAATAGCAGCCAGGGAAAGCGTGTTGCAGCCCAGAACCCAGACGTCTGCCTGGGGCCTGGCACCTTTGGGACGGCTGCCCTTCTGACCCAGGCCATCTGCTCTGCAGGCACACCCTCCTTCCTCTGCCCAGTGGTCAGCACGTTCCTGGTCCCTGCACCTGTCCTCCCTCCCCTCCGTTCACTGGCCCCAGATACTCGGGAGGGCCGTGGGCCCCGGATGGCAGGGACCTGGTCCTTAAATGGGACCAGGCCTATGGCCCATGGGTCTGGGCAGCAGCTTGGTCCAATTAGAAGGGCTGTGGACCCCGGCTGGGGCAGAGCCGGGTGCCCCAAGCAGACCTGGACGGGGCCTAGAGCTCCACTGTCTCTGCCATAAGGGGACCTGATCTCCTCCCCCAGGCCCCTGGCTGCTGCAGTGTGCATGGTGGGGCCCCCGCCGGCTCTGGCCCTCACTGCCCCTTCCCCCCCAGCAAGCCCGGCTTCTTCCCCGCCCACCCCCCCGCCACAATTCCGTCCACCGTCCCTATGTATTCTGTTTGGGTTTCATTCCGTGACAGTAACATTTCCATGTGAGTTTCAATCTTTCAGACTCCTCAGTGCCTTGAAGGCAGACGTAGCGGGAAGTGTGAACACTGTTTCCTCTTTGACCTCCAAGGTCGTGAACTTGTCTGATGGCTTTTTCTTTGCCCTTCATAGGTGTTAAACCTTTCCGAAAAGAGATATGACCTTACAAAGCTCAACCCAAAGGTACGACCTTAGCCCTTTACTTTCTGGGTTTTGTCAAACATCCCTGACGCATATCTGCTCGTGCGAAGCTGTTCAAGTCTCTGTGGCATGTGACGTCCTAAGGGATATCGGGAACTCTTATCTGTGGGTTGTTGTTTTTGTTTTTGAGTTGTTGCTTTTTTCCCTAAGCTTTTTTCCCTAATCTCTGCCCCCATTGTGGGGCTTGAACTCACCACCCTGAGATCAAGAGTCACATATTCTACTGACTAAGCCAGAGAGGTGTCCCTGTTAATTTCTTTCATTTGAAATAATTGGGTTTATGGTACGTTGTGAAAATACACAGAGAGACCCCACGTAGCCCCAGTCTTCTGCAGTGGGAGCATCATGCATTAACTCGCAGTAACGTGTTGATGCCAGAGGCTGAGGTTGGCGGGATCCACCAGACATTTCCACTGCCGGGGTCTCCCTCCTGCCACCCGTCATGCTCTCCCCTCTGTGCGTTCATCTTTCTCGTAAAGATTTAGGGAGGGCTTTAAGCTTGTGCATGCGTGTGAGCCATGGTGTGTGTAGTCTGTGTGTGCCATACGTCGGAATGTCCGGCTGCCGCTGGAGTGGGAGTGTGGTGTGTGCTGAATTGCCTGTTTTAATGCCAGTTAATAAAGCAGGCCCTAGAGGTCCCGTGTGATAGCCTCTCAGCTCTGCTCAACTACACAGAAAAAATCTAAGGGATTCCTCAGTGTTAAAGCTCTTACCTTACATGGTGGAAAGGATATGCGGTATTTTCTAGCTTCCTAGGATTTTTCTGAAATTTTCCCATCATTTTGTACGGTTTCTATTACTTTCATAGAAGAGAGCTCCAACTCCCCTTAAAAAAAACGAAGGTAGAATAGGATGCATTTTGCATGGCTAGGCAGGCTTCCGGGCGGGGGTGCTGGAGGCTGTCCGGTGGCTCGGGTAGGGGCCTGTTCCCATGCACAGACACTGTATTCTGTGTCACGCAGTGAAGACCGTCTCTGTTCTTGCTCGGAGCTATAACCCGGGCTCAGGGTGCTTCCCTTGTGGGCACGCTCCTGTCCCAAGAGGAGCGTGTTTTCCTTGAAGCATGTGGGCTGGGCTGCTCTCTGGGACATCTCCTGCGCGGTGCATGGGGAACGGCCCCCTGCATTTTCCCAAGCTCTGATTTTAGTCTGCACTGAGGAATTTTGGCACCAGCTCCAACCAAGAACTCCTGTTTCAGATCTGGCCGGGCCAGATCTGCCCGCCCCACGAGCTGCGCCCCATTAGTGGCACTGAAAGCCTTTTCTCGGGTTGCCGTCCCAGCTGCAGGACAGCAGATAAGACGGGCATGGACGTCTCACGGGGGCAACATAATACCCCCCCATGTTCCCTTCCAGGGAAGGCGCCCGGCCGCAGCTCCCAGGCGGCCTTAGGGAGGGAACACGCGGCAGCGCTGCTTACCAGCCCGTGAAGGGTCTTTGTAGAGACAGAGCCCGTCTGTCATTGCAGATCCTGGACGTGGGCTGGCCGGAGCTGCACGCGCCGCCCCTGGACCAGGTGTGCACCATCTGCAAGGCGCAGGAGACCTGGCTGAACAGTGACCCCCAGCACGTGGTCGTCATCCACTGTAGGGTGAGTCCCCTCGGTGCTGGGCCGGGTGGCGGCGCCGCTGGGTCCCGCGAGACCTCCTTCCACGCGCACGTGCGGATCTGCCGGTGTTGGCGGTCACGTTCACACACCCGCCCTTACGGAGGAAAGAGTCCTCACTCTCCCGGAGCTGGGCTCTGGAATGGGCAGGCCTGGGGGCACTGAGTCACACCTGCACATTTTGAAATGAACGGAAGACATCCATGGTGGTGAAACATTGTATCTGGATGTGGTTTGTTTTTTCCGGAAAGCCCTTTGGAGAAGGAGCAGGGCGCGGTTCGGATGCTGTCCGGCTCCCACTTATACTTGGTCCACCTGAGCCTGGGGGGAGGATGCTGTTAGCTGTGAACACGTGGTCCTACCCAGCCGGCTGCTTGAGGGGGACGGGACTTGGTTGTCCCCTGGCAGCGTGGCTGGAGCTGGCCGCACCTGACCTCTGACCTCCTGGGAGCTCTCCTCTTCCTCCTCTGGTTTCTTGCTGCCGTCCTGTGCTTCCTGGTCCTCAGGTCTGATGGGTGGAAAACGAGGCTGGACGGAACGCCAGTGTCCTGCGTGGGGAAGTCCGGAGGCCGGCTGCTCCACGAGGATGGTGGTTTCCGCAGACCTGCGTGCGCTGGTGCAGCGTGGTGGGGGGCACCTTGGGAAAGGACAGTGCTCCCAGAAGGAAGGGGCCCCTCCTCACTTTGTATGTTACACACCATGTCCCAGGGACTCTCTCCACTTCTCCAGTGTGTTCCTATTTCCTTCTTGAAATGTCTTTTTCAGATCTTCTCACATTCAAAAGCTGCAGGAAAACCCATTGCCTTGGATTTAGTTTAGTTGGCAAGACCCTTCCCCTCGAGCTATGCTGGGCTGTCCGAGCCACTGTCCCCCAGGGGTTCTGAGACCCGCTTGCGTGAGGGCTGCAGGATGGCGGCGGGCCTCGGTGGCCGTGTGTGACAGGCCCCTTGGCTCCCAGCAGAGCCCGGCAGGTGCACACGAACGAGCCAGGCGTTTCCTGCTCTCCTCTCCCTGCTTCTGCTCACACCCGACTTGCTTACTTTCTCCAGCCAACAGCCAGGCTCCCCATTCGTTTGCTTATGAAATTACGTTCCCTGGAGCCTTTCAGAGTGGCGTTATACTAAGGATCTTCTCTCTGGATTTATGTTTTGGTGCAAACTTCAAAAGAAGATAGGCTTTTTCTTTGTTTCTTAAACCAATTCTTGTCAGTTAAAACCAACTGCTTTCCATCAGGCCTGGCCTGGTGCTTCTGGGGATGCTTCCCCTGGGGCTCAGTGCACAAGGCTTTCTGAGCAGCAGTCCCCAGCAGTCTGGCAGACCTGGTGCAGGTAAGAAACCCAGGTCCTGCTCTCCCTGGCCTCTGCCACCTGGGCCCCCAGAAGGTTTTGCGGTGCTGGACCTCAGGAGGCTCCCCTTAACTACTTGTCCCATTTTGGTCATCGACCTCACTTTTTAATGAAGTCGATTACACTGTCATTTACAGTGTCTGTGTCACAGGTGACAGACTCACTGCAGACAGATCTCCGAACCATGTGTGGTCCTACCCAACGCTTGGCTCCCTAGACAAGACTTTTTTTTTTTTTTTAATTAAAGATTTTATTTATTTATTTGAGAGAGAGAGTGTGCATGTGCACAAGGAGGAGGGGAGCGGCAGAGGGGGAAGCAGGCTCCCCGCTGAGCAGGGAGCCTGATGCAACACTCGATCCTAGGATCCTGAGACCATGACCTGAGCCAAAGGCAGACACGTACCCGCCTGAGCCCTCCAGGCGCCCCGGGATAAGTCTTGTTAGCGGGAGTTACTGGGAGCACATCAGGAGTTCTTGGAAACCACTTGCTCCCCTCTTGCTTTGTTCTGGGGACATGCAAGCCCTTTCCAAGACGTTCTAGAAAACGTGCCATGAGTGAGGCATCCTCACTCAACGTGAACTTCCAATGTCGGCATTAACAGAAGTTCATCTGGTTTGTGGCAGGGGTGAGATTTGGATCATTCCTGCAAACCTGTGAGCTCTGCAAAAGGTGTGCTTCCTGCCATGCGCCCCAGGAACGGGAGCGGAGCGGGGCCCCTGGCCGCAGGAAGGCAGACCCAGGCCCAGCACGGGGACGGCCCTGCCCTCTGGTCCGCTGCACAGGACGGGTTTGTGTGGCTTTGCACCGGGGCCCCTTGCCTCCACCTGCCCACGGGCGACGGGCTGAGCAGACACAGCCTGTGGGTCTTCTGGAAGGTGTGGTGCCCTGTGCTGCACTGGTGCAGGTCACGGTCCTGACGTCCTGCTGGAGTTCAGCCTCTCAGGGTCACCACAGACACAGGGACTGCCTGGGTGTGACAGCTTCGTGGCCCCACGCATGCCCAGCGTGGTCGGGGAGCCGTTTCCTCATAGCGGACTAGTAGCTGCATGGGGAGGAACCGGCCATGTGTCCGAGGTCCCCACGTGCACACCGTGGAGAGGCGTTTGCTCCGGTGGAGGTTACGGCCTGGATTTGCTCTGCTGTTTTTTTTGTTTTGTTTCTGTTTTTTTTTTTTTTTTTTACACATTTATTTGATAGACAGAGATCACAAGTGGGCAGAGAGGCAGGCAGAGAGAGAGGGGGAAGCAGGCTCCCCGCTGAGCAGAGAGCCCGATGCGGGGCTCGATCCCAGGACCCTGAGACCATGACCTGAGGCAAAGGCAGAGGCTCAACCCACTGAGCCCCCCAGGCACCCTGCTCCGCTTTTTCTTTTCCAGGATAGACGTGGGGACGCGCGTGTCCATGGCCCTGCCATTCTAGCTTCGTGTGCTCCTCTGTCTGGGCTGCCTAACTTCTCGTGAAAAACCCAGACCGCAACTATTTTGGGTTCTGGGGGCTGCAGGGTCTTGTAAGTGCTTGCCTGTGCTGTTGCCTGTGGATCTGGTCCCCGAGGCGCCTGGACGGACGGGTGTGGCATGTTCCTGTCACACGCATGGTCATGGTTGGGCTTTCTGGGTTTGCCGTGTGACACGGAAGGGTATTTTGACTCTTGACTTTTCTTCAGTTGTCCTAAAACATGGCATCGCGTTGCTCACAGGTTGCAGGATGTGGGTTGGGCAGAAGTGGCTTGTGCACCGTGGTTTGCCGACTGTTGATCTGGGTCATGGCAGAATGTTCCAGAAGGTGGCAGTCCATGGCCCTGGGTGCAGGTGGCCTATCACGGCTGTGGTGCTTCCACACACCCTCTTCCCTGGGTCCCATGGGTCCCATGGTTTCCACTGGCCTGCGGTTCTGGTGGCTTCCCTGTCCAGGCTGTATATGTCTGTAGTCATGGGCTGAGCCCCGCATGTTGGGGCCATTGTCCCTGTGGAACTGGGCAGGGCCACGCTGGTGGTGGCAGGTGGCAGTTGTGATGCCCTCTGGGCCCTCTGCATGGCGTGCACAGCTCTCAGACCCCTCAGCCTGTGAGGTGGGCGTTAGGCCCTGTCACCTATAGTGAAGTCATGCTAAGTGCTTCCTCCTCCCACGTTCTCATGGCCCCAGTGGGACCTGGTTAGCTGAGTGGCCGCCTCTCTGCAGACCTGTCCTCGAGGGGCCCACGGGTGCCCCAGGCGTGCCTGTGCCTGCTGGGCTCAGTGCTGCTGTCCCCCAGCACAGGGACCAGAGGAAGCTGGCCGTGGCTCCCCCAACAACGCTAGTTCTTTGTCGTCCCAAGCTGACCGAGCGAGCCTTCTGCCGCTGCCTCAGGAGTCGAGAGAAACCGAGTCCCTCTTCTGTCTCCCGCAGGGTGGGAAGGGACGCATCGGCGTGGTCATATCCTCCTACATGCACTTCACCAACGTGTCGGCCAGGTATGCGGGGCGTCTGTGCTGCTGGGGGCGTCGGGAGGTCTGGGAGGGGGTGGGGGCTCGGCCGGGAGCAGCCCCAGCCACGGGTGCGCCCCGTGTCTGCCTCGCACTGGCGTCTTCCGTGGCGGCGGCGGGAGAGCAGTAGCGTGCCGTCCTTCTCTAACACCCCGGAGGGCTGGACGTGACTGTACCAAAGGCAAGGCCTGTGCGGTCTCACCGGGCGCCTCGTGCCCTGTGAAGCTGAGTGGCCTCATGAGCCCTGGGTCTCTGGGAAGTACTTTGCAGGTTGGGCTTCTCCCCCTCCATCCCCCTGAGTGACCTGGGGGCTGCTGTCATGCTCGCACTGTACAGATGACAGACCCGAGGCTCGGCCTGCTGTTGGTCTCCTGGCCCGTGAGTGGGAAGCCTGGCCCCACTGGGATCCCAGGAGGTGGAACAGCTGTAGGGAACCAGCCCGCAGGAGGCTGGGCTGGCAGGCGCAGCGAGGCTGGGACAGCCTGCGGGTGCTGGGGCGGCGCGGGGTCCCCTGGACGCAGGGTGCCCCCAGAGGCGCGTGCCCTGAGCCCACATCTCACTCACACTGAACTCTGGTCCAGGAGCACCGTCCTTTGTGGGTGTGCCTTCACCCTGTCGTCTGGGTGGCCGCTCTGTGGGGCAGGGTCTCTCCGTTCCAAGGACGTGCACGCGCTGTTCTCATTAGCCGGGAAGTCCTGCCCTTTCCAGCAGCGAGGAGTGGAGTCTGACTGCCCAAGTATTTTTTCTGGACACAGACGGCGGAGCTGGGGCCGGCCCGGGAGGAAACCCGAGCCCCCATGAAGCCCAGAGCCCTTCTTGGTGATAATGAGGGTTTGTGTGTGAGCCAGAGCCGGAGGCGGCTGCTCCTGCCGAGACCCCTGCGGAGCCCAGACAGGGCACCGAGACCGCATCCCGGCTGATCTGCTCGGGTAACCGTCACGTTTCGACCATGGCAGCGCCGCTCAGCCCTGTTCTTCCCAATCACTGCACTTTCCCACATGTGCGCCCGACCGGCAGCGTGGAGGGGGCCCAGCCCCCAAGCGTGGAGGCGGCGTTAGGTCATTAGGCACGGGGCTGGTTTGTGCCCGTCGAGGCAGCATCTCCTGATTCCCTGCCCCGAGCCTGCCGTGGCGACCAGCCTCTCACACGTTTGTGTCCTTGATCGCTGGCATTCCCAGAAGCCGTCACGGGGAGCACGCATCTCTAAGAGCTCTGTCGCGAGCCATGCTCAGGATGGCCTCCGAGAGGAGAAATCGAGAAGGAGAAGGAAGCTTCTTGGGTTGGCACCCTGGGGACAGGTGATCGGGGAGACCGTCAGCGGGAGTATTAACGCTGACGGTGACGTTATTCCTGAACGAACACTCACACACGCGCACACACACACGCACACACACACGAGCCGGAAGTACGTTGTCCGCATTTAGTAAGACCCCTGAGCTCTGGGAAGAGGAACGCTCGCAAGTGAAGCTCCGTGTAAGCTACTTCTCAGCTTAAAACACGCACCGTCGACGACGGTGAAGGCTCGGTGCTGCTGGCAGGCGACCTTCCGTCTGGGCCAGCCCTCCCCCCTCCACCCCGGGGCAGCCCAGGACAGATGCACGCGGTGGATCCCCGTGTTCCGCAGGGCCGTGCGCACACTCTGTGAGGGGAGAGCCCAGCTCCTGATCGGCCTCGAGCAAGACTTGGTTGCTGTGACCTCTCGCGTCCATGTCCCACACTGTGGGACGGATCCGTCAGATCAGCCAGACCGAACGCCCAGCTGCAGGGTTTCCTGAGGGTCCTGTTGAGCGCACTCTGCTCGTGCACGGCCACCGCTGTGTGACTCCCCCCTGCCCCAAGGCCTGCTGAGGGTCGTGACCCCCTGTGGGTCCCGAGCTGGCCCCCAGGTCTTGCTGGTGGTCACTAAGGGCAGTGTTAACTGCTGTGCCCCAAACCCTTGGGATCCCGACGCTCACGCACAGCCCTCTGCTACTTCCCTGCCGTCGTGGGGTCGGTGTGGCAATGGGACAATTTGGGATGCCAGCCTTGTGCCCGCCTGGGGGAAGGAGCCTGGGGGGTGGCTATCCTGGGAGCTGTGCCACCTGGAGAGAGGGTGCTGCTGTGTTGGACGGTGGTCCAGACCTGCCAGGCCGTAGCCCCTGCCCCCGTCACCCGGCCACCCGTGACGTCCATGTTTAATGCTGTGCTGATGCTCTCTTTCCTTCCTCAGCGCTGACCAAGCCCTCGACAGGTTTGCGATGAAGAAGTTCTATGATGATAAAGTTTCAGCCCTAATGCAGCCTTCCCAGAAGCGGTACGTATGCGTCCCCGAGCCAGAGCCAACAGTTTGGTGATATCTTACAATTCAGAAAGTGGGACAGAAGGGACGTCTCCCCGGCCAGCCTGGTGGGTGCCCAACGGCGAAGAAGGGCCACCGCGCGTGTGGGTGGCCAGGGAGCCTCGGCTCTGGCTGGCTCTGGGAGGTGGACCCAGGACCCCCCCACCACGTGCTCCACGTTTCACACCGGGGCCTCCACGCTCAGGGCGGCTGTGGATTCACGCCGGGATGTCGGGACTGGGCTCTGTCTGCTGGACCAGGGGTCGGCGAACCGTGTCTCTAACCTGCTGGCGAGTAGCTGGTCGGGGCCCCGCCGGCCGCGTGGTCTCTGTCATGGCGGGCCCAGCACGAGAGTGAACGTGGCCTCACAGCAGGTGTGCAGTTGGCCAACTCCTGCACTAGGCTGTCCGCCCCAAGGCCTTTCCTCACGTTGGCCCCCCGGCCCACCCACCGCTCGCTCTCCGGCGCTTGGCTCTGCCCCGGGAGATGCTCAGTCCCGGTGGCGGAGGGCCCAGGGGGAGCAGACTTCCTCCTGCCCCGCGCCCCCAGGTGAGTCCACGCCACCCTCCGGGCCCAGCCAAGGAAGTCCCCGCACTGTTACTTGAAAGCGAACAGCAGGGAATTGGCCAAGAACTGCCAGGACGGTTGCCAGGGCGCTTTCCCCTCCTGTGCGGCTCACCCTTACGTCTGCTCCCCCGGTGCCGGTGGGCGTGGCTGGCAGACGGGAGACGGAGGGTTCCACAGTCCGGGGGCGCCGGCCACGGGCGTGTTGGTCAGGAGCTGGGCCTCGATGCTCCCATCTGGGAAGGGGGTTTCCAGGCCGCCACAGGTCCTCCTCCTCTTGTCCCAGGAGTCGCCAACGTCCAGGACTGTTTGCAGTCAGACCCACCTCCTCCCCCTCCTCCCCTCCTCCCTTCCTCTCCCTCCCTCTCCTCCCCCTCCTCCCCATCCCCCTTCTCCTCCTCCCTCCCCCTCCTTCCCTCTTCCCTCTCTTCATCCCTCCCTTTGCCCGTCCCACAAACTCTGCCTCTGTCAAGTACCACTCTGTTCTCTGTGTCGGTGAGCTTTTGAGCTTGTTTTGTTCATTTGTTTTGTTTTTTGGGATTCCACACGTAAGTGTCTTTTCCTGCCTCGTTATTTTGTGATGCATAGCGCCTCGCAGGCCATCCAAGCTGTTGCCGATGGCAGGATTTCATCCTTTCTCTGTGGCTGACTCGTGGTCTGTGCTGTCTCTACACCGCACCTTCACCTGTCCATCCGCGGGCGGACGCGGGCGGTGCCCCGTAGCTAGGTTACGGTCAGCGTGGCTGTAGTGAACCCGGCGTGCCGCTGTGGTTCCGTTTCACCAGGTAGATAACCCAGCCGTGAGGTTCCTGGGCCATATGGTATTCTTGCGTTAAGCTTTTTGAGGACCCTCCCTACTGTTTTCCACGGTGGCTGCACCCGTGAGCATCCCACCAACAGGGCACGAGGGGTCCAAATTCTCCACATCCTCGCCAGCACCCGTTGTCTCCTGTGTGGGCTATAGCCGTCCTGGCAGGTGTGGCGCCGTATCTCCCTGTGTGTGGGTGTGTGTTTCCCTGATGGTGAGTGACGCTGTGCGCTTTTTTACATGTCCGTTGGGTGTCAGGTCTTTTTCTGAAAAATGTCTATCCTGATCTTCTGCCCTTTTTTATTTATTTATGTTTAAAGTTTTTTTTTATTTATTTGACAGAGAGATCACAAGTAGGCAGAGAGGCAGGCAGAGAGAGAGGAGGGAAGCAGGCTTCCCGCCGAGCAGAGAGCCCAATGCGGGGCTCGATCCCAGGACCCTGGGATCATGACCTGAGCCGAAGGCAGAGGCTTAACCCACTGACCACCCAGGCGCCTCTTCTGCCCTTTTTTTTTAAAAAAGATTTACTTGTTTATTTTAGGAGGGGTGGAGGGAGAGGGGGAGAGAATGTGGAGCAGCTTCCCTGCTGAGCGTGGAGCCTAAGGCTGTGGGGTGGTGGGGTCCGTCCCACAACCCTGAGATCAGGACCTGAGCTGAAATCAAGAATCGGACCACCAAGCCACCCGGGTGCCCGAGTTCCATACAAATTTTAAGGTTTTCTTTCTGTTTTTGTGGAAAATGCCGTAGGAATATGGATGGGGACTGCATTGAGTCTAGAGACTGTGGTTAACAGTGTTACTTTTCCCTTCCATGAGGATTGAACATTTTCCCGTTTCTTTGTGTCTTGCTCCGTTTTTTCCATCAGTGTCTTAGAGTTTCCCACGTGCCCGTCCTTCGCCTCTTTGGTTAACTTTATTCTTAGGTTCCTTTCAGTCTGGTTGAGGCCATCGTCAGGGCCGGTTTCTGCATCTCTTGTTAGGGTCATTATCCCATAGCAAGGCGACGGAACGATGTGTATTAACTTTATATTCGGAGTTTACTAATTTCATTTATTCTAACAGTTTTTGAGGAGAGTCGTTAGGCTTTTCCACTATAATATCATGTCATTGCAAACTGGGACAGGTTGAAATCTTCCTTTCTGATTGCGTGCCTTTCATTTCTTTTTCTTGTCTGAGTGCTGTGGCGTGGACTTCAACACCACGTGAATGAAAGCAGTAAGCGCAGGCCCCCTTGTCTTGCTCCTGGTCTCAGGGGGAAGCTTTCAGCTTCTCCCGTGAGTGTGATGCTAGCTCTGGGCTTGCCGTGCGCAGCCTTTTTACAACGAGGGGTGTTCGTTCTACACCCACTGTCTTGTGGCTTCCGTCCTAAGTGGAAGTGGTGTTTTGCCCAGTGTTTCTCCTGCATCTGTTGAGACCATCGCGTGATGTTGTTTTTCCTTCCCGGCCACTCAGAATGCTCAGCACCCGACGGGGAAGAAGTTTGCCTTAGTTTCTTCTTTTTTGCTCTTACAACTTACAGTATTTTTTAATAGCAACATGAGACTGTAGAACGTGGAAAAATACTTTCTCACCGTAGCAAGTCCACAGCGTTCACGTTCCCCTCCTGTCTGCGTGCTCCGGAAGCCATAGGATTTACGTTGTGTAAAGGTGGTGTGAGTCCTGTTCTGCCTTCCCTGGCGAGTCTCCCTACACCCGGAGAGGAGAGGAAGGCCGTCCACCCAGCTCCTGCAGTGGAAGATGCTCACAGACCATTCTCGAGTAGGTAGATGACCGCTCAGATGCGTCCGGAGGATCCCAGGACGGCCGCGTCTGTGGGACGGACACCATGATGGGGACCCTCCCAGTGGTCCCTGCTGCCCCGAGGGAGCACTGTGCAGCCTCTGTCTTGACTGAGCTCAAAAAACCCATTTCAGTGGGGTCTCCTGGGAGAGTGAATTAATTAGCTTGCTGGGGTTTATGGCCTGCGAGGCTTGGGGCCTCAGCAGCAAGCCCCTCCAAGCCTTATTTCATACCGGGCTGGTGAGCTCACCTTCCCAGGGGTGCGGGGCAGAAGGGGTCCCGAGGAGGCCCCCTGTAGGGTCATTCCCGTGTCCGACCCTGCCTGGTAAAGGGACCGGCCTGCAGAAATGAGGATTCCAGCTGTGTCTGATGGCCAACCTTTCCCAGCATATCTTTATTTGGCTTTTGACATTTTTATAGTCTGGACATGACCCTTTGTGTGTCTCAAAGAGCACGTGCATGGGGGCAGGGTAGATAGAGGGGAGCAGGCACCCTTCCTCTCTCCTCAGAGAGCATGCCCGCTGCAGCCCCCCACCCCAGGCTTCTCATGCTTGGAGGCAGGGTGGCTCTCCCACAGGGCCTCCTGCACAGCCAGGGACGGGAGTGCTGGGGAACGCTAGGTAACTGGCAGCTTGGGTCCCATCCTGATGCAGGGGCCCAGCTCATGTCTCCCCACCATCCATGCGGCCCCCACGAGCACCATGGAGGGGAAGATAGGAAGCCTTAGGGAAGGATGTGCCCTTACAGTGGGTCCTCGTGCTGAGCCACGGGACGTGGTCATGCTAGCTCTGATACACATATGTGTTCGGGGAGATCTGAGCAGTGTCCAGGGCAGGTCGGCATTTAGGGGAATTCGAGGGAACTCCCAACCATGCATTTCTGCCCTCGTCCCTGGTGGTAAGGAATGTGTTGGACATGTGCAGATTTCCAGCTGCTTTGGCGCAGGGGTGACGCACGTGCCCCGCCATCTGTCCCCCCTCCAACACATGCAGTTCCTGAACCTTCTCGCTTTAGTTGAGAGGAAACGTGGAAAGCATCATCGCAGGGAATTCCTTTCCTCCAGAGAGAGAGGAGACAGTGAGAGGCAGAGGAGCTATTTGGAACAGGGCCCATACACTGGGCGCTGGGGGAGCTGTCAGGTTCCCACGCCCTTTACCGCCGCAGTCAAATGTGGTTCCTCCCCGTGTGCCAGTTGAACCGGGGGCGCAAACCTTCCGTTCTCTCTCGCTGCTCCTGTCTTCACCCGGGAACCAATTCTCTTTCCTTTGGTGCTGATGGGCGCTTCGCAGTGGCCATGAGGAGACGTCCTGGTCACCTGTCTGTGTCCCGCCTCCCCTAACTCAGCTGCGTGTTTGGACAAGGCATTTGCGCGTGTGCTGACTGCTTTTGCGAACAGTGGGACGAGGCCGCCCCAGCGGGAAATCCATGAACGTTCACCGTGTGGTTTACTGTGAAACGTCTCCTGACTCCTCCCTGACATGCACACTGGGGTGGAACTGGGGTGCGGAGAGGAGAGATGTGTGCTCTGTGCACCCAGGGTCCCTGGCGCGCAGCGGTGCTCCTGCGGGGCTGGCCGGATGCGGACTGAGTAGCGTGCAGGCACGTGGCGGTCCAGCCACCAGTGGCTCTGCTCTGTGTTGGGGATTTGCTGGTCGTCAGCCACCTGCCTGTAGGTCCCGGAGACTGTTAGGGGCAGGAGATGTGCTGCCTGGGGCTGCTGCCCCAACCCTGCTGGGGTCAGGGTCCTGCGCTGGGGGTGAGCAGGCCCTTGGCTGTGTACGCAGAGCCAAGGGCCCTGTGCTGAGCTCGGCCTTGTCGACATGAAGCACTAGCCGTGGGCATGATTGTCACAGCTGGAGGGAGGGGACAGGGTGCCGTCTCCACTCTGTCCACACACTTCACAAAAATAACACCTGGAGGACCTTTATCATCTGTCCTTCTCTTAGCAGTGGTGCTGTCAGGAGAGGACTGGCGTCAGTTGTTCTTTAATGAACTCTTTGGTCACAGGCATGCTGGTTATAAGCCTCAAGGTGACCTTTTCCTCATCCCAAAACCCATGTGTGCTTGGCAATAGGCCCTCCCGGGGCTAGGAGCGGCACAGAGCCCGGCCGGGGTCTCCCCGTGGGGTGGGAGGTGAGGGGAGAGTAACCCTGTCACAGGTCTTCTCCTTCACTCTCCCATCTTCCCTTGTGGGTGGCCCCGTGGCCTGACCCTGTGTGGCTCTGGGGGCACTGTGACGGCCCTATGGCCTGAGCCCGCGTGGCTCTGGGTTGGGGGGAGAGGGGCTGCTTGTGGTGTGGGTGCAGGCCCAGCATGGGAGCCGTGGTTCTGCACTGGGTGCCCAGCCACGTGCAGTGGGGGGTGTCCAGGGATCCTTGCAGGGTCACGTGCCCGGGCTGTGCTCATCAGGGTCGGACTTGGAGGTCGAGCCCTGCCTGGATGTGGGCAGTGGGGCTGGGTCCCCTCCCGGCGCCCCAGGACAGCAGGCTCGGTCTCCCTGCGTGTGTGGCCCCGCGTGGGCTCAGAGCCGTGGGGGCCCCCGTGGGAGCCCTGAGCCGCTGTCCATTGCAGGTACGTGCAGTTTCTCAGCGGGCTCCTGTCGGGGACGGTGAAAATGAATGCCTCGCCTCTCTTCCTGCATTTTGTCATCCTTCACGGCACTCCCAACTTCGACGCGGGCGGAGGTGAGCGTCCACACACCGCTCTCGAGATGTGCGGCCTGTCCTGGACCCTGTGCTTCCCCGGTCTGCCTTCCCTCCCTGCCCCGTCCAGGCGTCCTGGTCACTGTGTGCGGGGTCCCTTGGCCAGGAGGACCTCTCCCAGGGAGCCCCGCTGTCCCCTACTTTGTGGTCTGACTCCAGCTCTGTTCCCCAAAAGCACAGACGCAGCACAGGGGCCACCTTGCCCCAGGTCGCCTCTGTCGTGCTGTTTGTCAGACTCCTGTCTGTCTGTCCAGTCCTGCGTCTCACGGACAGCTCTCTCTTGCAGCGTGCCGGCCCTTCCTGAAGCTATACCAGGCCATGCAGCCCGTGTACACATCCGGGATCTAGTAAGTGCTGTGCTCACGGGAAATGCACCTTCCCGAGCCACCCGTCCTGTGGGAAGGGGTCGGGGCGTTGATGGGGGACTGCCCGGGGGCTGAAAGGGGCACCTTGGCTCCAGGAAGGGGTGTGGACGCAGAGCCTGGTGGGCGGGGAGGCCCGCACCCCAGAGTACTGTGACCGGGTCCTCACGGGGGAGCCTTCTCTCCCCTGCGTGTTTTCGGCAACGGGCAGGTGCCCTCAGAATTTGTCTGAGTTTCTGGGCTTTCCTGGTTTGCTTTCTTGTTTGCTCGCTGTACGTGTTTTGTGGACATTAATAGAACGCGAGTGAGAAGTAGGTCAGAACGAGCTGCTGTCACGGTTGGGCCTCGTGGTGGACCCGCACGCGGGGGGCACCTGGGCGCTCACGCACTCCGCTCGTTACCGACACGCACAGTCCACACGCCGGCCGGACCCCGGGGAGGGGCATCCCAGGGCCACGTGGGGTATTCCATGCGCTCTCTGAGTTTGAGTGGCGAGGTCGCTTTTCTCAAAAGGGGTTTTTTTCTGTTAAATCGTGAAATTGCATCATGGTTTACCGTCTTGTGTGTCCCAAAGCAACGTGGGCCCGGAAACCCAAAGCAGCATCTACATCGCCATCGAGCCCGCCCAGCTGCTGAAAGGCGACATCATGGTGAGTGCACTCCCCGGTCCCTCCGCCTTGGTGAAGCCCATGGGAAGCAAGGCCAGTGGCCTTGATCTGAAGGCCTTTGGCTTATTTTCTGGGCAAAGATGTTTTACTGGAAGGTGCAGAATGAATCGAGAGGGCCACTCGCTATGTGCTCTCCGAACTGCGGGTCCTAGCTCGGCCCCGGCATCCGAGGGTCCCCATCCCCCGACCACACGTGTGATCTCGTGGTCCTCAGTGGTCCCAGTGCGAAGTCCCCCGGCGTATCGCGGCTCGGCGAATGACTTCCATGGAGAGCCCTCGGGTAGTCTCAGATCTGGGGCGCGCTGCTGTTTGAAAGAGATGACGTGTGACATGTTGGTCTCTTCTCGGTCTTGAATACAGAGGAGATTGTTCGTCTAAACTAATTTAGAGGAGTTTGGCACAGGGAAACCGTGGGGCTGTTGTGCCTCCTCCTCACACGCACAGAAGTGACTCCCCGTGTGTCTGCAGAGCCTTGGGGAGGGGGGCCTGTGACAAGAGGGTAGATGAAGGTTCTTGCTCGTTTCCCCTAAACGTTTGGATTTCAACGTCCCCCCTCAGTGGCTGGCCTGTCCCGAGTGCTCACGAAAGGTCAGCGGGGTCGTGGAGGTCGGTGTCCCTGGCAAAGACGTCACACCGCTGTGTTCAGCCCACAGTGCAGGAGCCTGCTGTCCCGGCGAGAGGGCCCTGCACGTGCATTTCACGAACGGCGTGTCGCTCACCCCTGACGACCTCGAGGTGAAGGGGCCGGTGTCCTCAGGCCATGGGGGGTAGAGCGGACGTATAGAGCGCCGGTGCCTTTCCTTAGCCCATTTGCTCACACGTTCCTGATGCACTGTCCCCAAGGAGAAAGCTTTCTCTTCTAGAATGTTCTGTAGGGCAGCACCCAGCCTCCTCCCTGTGGTCAGGAGACTGAGAGGGAGAGGGGAGGGTTTGTCTCTGTGCTCTGCCCGGGTGACCTCCAGACGTGTCTCCCAGGACTTGATTATTAGACAGTGGGCTGAGCCATTATCGGGTACCTGCTGCATGCTGGACAGCCCCCTAGGGCTGCACATGGCCATGGCTTTAGTCTGCCCACAGCTCCATGCCCTGGGTCTACTGTTCCGGTTTTAAAGGAGGCCAAGCGACCCAGAGAGGCCACGAGAGACGAGTGGGGATGCCGATAGGATGTGCGCCTGGGATCCCATGGTCTGGCCGGTACCTCGGGAGGCGGCCTGTCTAGAATGGGTGTCCCCTGTTGTAAGGACCCCAGGGAGGTGGGCAGAGCCCCAATATGTGGTAGGTGACTCTGGAGCATGGGGGAGCCTTCCCCACCCCTGGACTGTGGGCTGCTGGGGCAGTGGGCGTGGCCAGTCAGTAGCCTGGGGCCCTCAGCCCTCCTCCCCTCCTCCTCCCCTCTCCTCCTCCCCTCTCCTCCTCCTCCTTCCTCCTCCTCCCCTCCTCCTCCTCCTCTCTCCTCCTCCCCCCTTCCCTCCTCCTCCTCCCCTCTCTTCCTCCCCCTTCCTCCTCTTCCCTCCCCCCTCCTCCTTCCCTCTCCTCCTCCTCCCCTTCCCCCCCTCTTCCTCCCCCTTCCTCCTCCTCCTCCCCCTCCTCCTTCCCTCTCCTCCTCCTCCTCCCCTCTCCTCCTCTTCCCTCCTCTTCCTCCTCCCCTCTCCTCTTCCCCCTCCCCCCTCCTCCTCCCCTCTCCTCCTCCCCTCTCCTCCTCTTCCCTCCTCTTTCTCCCTTCCCTTTCCCATCCCCTCCCTCCTTCCTTCCGCACCAGGAATTTATTTACACAACTGTCCTGTTTTGAAAGTTTTGCGCTTTCTGGGTCTCTGTATGGGGCCCTAGCACAGGAAGGAAGGGAGGGACAGGGTGACATCTTTGTCCTGAAGGAGCTGGTGGGGGCAGCAGACCTGCGGTGGGTGAGGGATCCCAGGATGGGCCGTGCTGGGTGAGGCAGGCAGGCGGGGAGCTTCCGAGGGGTGCTAAGTCATCCTGGGGGCGATTCGTTGTCCTGGGAGGTTGAAGCCAGATGGTGCCGGCTCGGTTGCCCGTGGTTCTTCTTTGGGAAAACTGGTGATCCTGAAGCCCTTTCCAGGCCCCTGAGGCCACACTGCTTCTGACCCTGGAGGTCGCCCTGGAGGAGGGCTAGTGCGGGGAGCAGGGGAGAGGAGGGGCCGGGACCTGGCCTGAAGGTGTGTGTGAGCGGCTGCCTGTGGGGAGAGGCCATGCTCCCAGGGGCCGGCCCTGAGCCCCACGACTGGGTGCCCACTGGGTCTGCCGCCTGCAGGGTCTGGGTGGCCTCAGAGGTCACCCTGTGTCTGCGGACTTGAAGCTAAGTGAGGGTCCCAACGGGGTTAGGGGAGACTGGGTGAGCTGGTGTGGGATGACGCCATTTGTGAGCATGGGCGCGGGTGAGGGCTTGGCCTTGGGGATCCCGTGGCCTCCCCCTGCCCCAAAGCCCTGTTACCCTCCAGGCCCGAGCCTGAGGGCACCTGTGTGTGTGTCTCACCAGTCGGGGTCTGTGGAAACATCCGGAGCAGGTGGCATGGGGGCATTCGGAGGGGACCCGGTGTGGCCCTTGGGAGCTGGGCGGTGGGTCCTGGAAGGGAGGTGGTGGGGGGCAGGCAGGAGGCCCTGACACTCGAGCTTGGACTCAGCGCCCACGTGCTGGGGTTGGGAGCCAGCCCTAGGTGTGTGACGAGCTCCCGGACGTGCTGGCCCTCTGGCTGGATGCTGTCTTGTGTGTTTGGGGAGCTGTTGCCCATGCTGTGTTCAGACTCAGAAGATGCCTCCGGGCACCCACAGGCATGGGAAGGGAGCCCGTTGCGGATGCTGTCTTGTGTGTTTGGGGAGCTGTTGCCCATGCTGTGTTCAGACTCAGAAGATGCCTCCGGGCACCCATAGGCGTGGGAAGGGGGCCTGTTGCCACGAGTACGAGTCCCCCGTGGTTCTTAGGTCTCGCCGGAAATGGATTTGGTTGAGTAGCTAGGAGGGGACTGTGTGTGGCACCGGGCTCTTCCCTGGGCCTCCTTTGCTAGGGCCAGGAGTCGGAAAGCGGGATCCGATGGCCCTTGTCAAGAAATTTCATTTCTAGCTTGTACCTAAGGGCCCTCTGAGGTGCAGACGGAGGCCTGGGGCCCTTGGGTCGCCGTGGCAAGGAGGCCTGGCTGGACGGGGGGCCAGGATGGTCCGGAGCGGGCTCTGCAGGTGACAGCGAGGCCATCGGAGCTCACAGGGCTTTGTGGCTTTGTCCCGTGTGACCTACAGTCCACGTCATTGGGGGGTCAGGCCCACGGTCCTGGGGAACAGAGGACGCATGGCAGGGGGAACCCTGTGCTAGGGACTAGCGGGACCAGGCACAGGTGTTAGGAGGACGGGGGTGGGTCAGGCCAACGCCAGGAGTGCGGGGTCCTGTCTGGGCCCCTTTTGCTTGTCTGCGCTTCACCTGGGGCCTGGAGTGTGGATAGGACACATGGGGAGGGGACAGGAGAGGGGACAAGGCTGTACTGGTCTGGGTTCTCCCCCACGTCCGGCCTTTTGGATCTCTCTGGATCTCCTCCTTCCCTTCCTCCTAGACTCGGGCCACCAGCCAGAGACCCTGTGCTGGCAGACGCCTCTGTCTTTGCTGGAGGCTTCTCTGCCCCTGGCTCCTGGCTTGCAGCCTGCCATGCTCCTGGCTGTCCCTCAGAGCCTGGCAGGCCCCTTGCTTGCTGCTGGCGAAGCTGCCGACCCCTGGCTGAGGGCACCAGCTGCTCCCCGTGCCCCCTGCAGGTCCAAGCTGCCCTGATGTGTGCACCTGGGCCCCGGGTCCCCCTTCGTGTCCACCAGCCCAGGCTTTTGGGAACCCCTGGCTCCCCCAGACACCCAAGTGTGAATTTGCTGTCTGGCCCACATGTCACCCGTGATGGAGATTCTGCTCCCGGATGTGCCGACCCCTGCTGTGTGCCGACCCCTGCTGCTGGCCGTAGCCCCCTGCGGCCTCCCGGGTGAGCAGACGCAGTGGCTTCGGGGCCCTGGGCACTGGAGGCAGAAGCCACAGTGCGTGAGTGGGTGTGGAACAAGACAGCGCCAGTGCTTGGGGCGTCCTGTGGCCACGGGCCTCGGGGTGAACGTTTTGTGGTGCGCAGGGAGGCGCCCCGTCTGTGGGTTTCTGTTCCCATCACAAAGCCGGCGGAGAAGACTCCTGGCCAGTTTCCTGGGAGCCACTCGCTGCGGGAACACTGGTGCCATCCTGCCCCTTTGTGCGTTCCCCACCCCGGGTATTTTTAGGGTCAGGCGACAGCTTGACTTATGCTTCCTGTGTTTACGATTCATTTCTGTACACGCTGCACTTTCCGCGCGTTATCAGATGGAAGGAGGATGATACGGGCTGTGGCTAGCAAGGGGTACTTTTCCATCACAAGGGTGACATGTCCTTGTGCCGCTCACAGAAATGATACCCCAAGGGGTTCAGTCAGGGGAGCAGCAGAGGGAGAAGCAGGCTCCCGGCTGAGCAGGGAGCCCCACGCGGGACACGATCCCAGGACCTTGAGATCATGACCTGAGCCGAAGGCAGACGCTTCACTGACTGAGCCCCCAGGTGCCTCCCCACTGCCGCAGCTGCCTTAACAAAGCTCCGGAGGCCAGGGGAAAAGCACACCTCCACTGTCCCTGGTCTGGAGGCTGGACGCCCCCAATCCAGGCAGGGCAGGCCGGTGCCCCCAAGGCCTCTCCTGGTCATGCAGACGGCCATCTCCTCCCCAGGCCTCACGGGGTTGTCCCTCCGTGCGTGTCTGTGTCCTGGTCCCTCTTCTTACAGGACCGCAGCCAGAGAGGAGCAGGGCCCATCCTGGTGGCCTTGTTGACCTTGATCACCTCTCGGTGAGAACCCAGTGTCCAGATACAGGCCCGGCCGAGGTCCTGGGGGTCAGGCCCCGAGATTTGAATTTGGGGGGGACATGATCCAGCCCATGATTCCCGTGTGCAGTAAGCAAACCTGTCCCAGCGAGACGAGCAGCGAC